TTTCATCGTATTAACTTTGCTATTATTCCACTGTAGCTTTTTTAAGTATATTTTGAACAACACATAATATATAAATACTATATTGTATACATTTGTACGTAATCCATTAATTAAATTACAACTGCATATAATATAATTTATTATTTTCATTTTCACTGTTTTCCAAAAAAAATTTCTGAAATCTCAAAGTTTAAGTATTTATTTTTTTTCGATCAATTTTATTTTATTTTTACTTTTAGCCACGAACTCGTATACTCAGCGGTCGTACGATACATTATTTGTTGTTTGATATGGATATCCGAAAGAGTACGAATCACAAGATCGATATTTTCGTGAGGTCTGATTTCAGCTATCCAAAGTTCTGTGCATCGGTGAAATTAGTTTCAAAAACGTCTTCATCACAGTTGCGATATAAAGAAAACTGTTATCGAAACAGTTCCAGACTAATAAAACAGTGGCATGAATTTTCACAGTGTTAATCGAAGTTACGGTGGACATTAACGTTTCGCAAAACGCTGTCGGTCTGTCGATTAGTACTCCGCATCGATCTGCAGCGGAATGTTCCGCGGACGGCGCACCGTAGCCTCTACTTTACACCGATGTTTACAATTTTTATTATTTCTCCTCACTCCTTCGTCTTATGTTTTTCGAATTCCAAACGAGCACGTCGACAGTGAAACCTTTGCTCGTTTCTGGATAGATACCACTCGTACACTTTGCGTACACGGGAGCGATTGTATAATATTATAATATGTGCGTGCGCGCACCGCTGCAGAGAAAAAAGAACTGCATGATAATAATAATAATAATAATAGTAACAACTGCGATATTATAATAATAGCGACATCATAATATTTAACAATAATTATACGAGACCGGGTCCGTAGGAAACGCTTGCGAGATAGACGGGAAGTGGGCTAACCCGGAGAAGGAGGTACATCAAAAAACGGTCAATTGGATGAACTGTTTTCGGTGTATGTACGTTCACGGGCACCGCGCGCTATAGGTGAACCGGTGATTTATACGGCAATGGGTTCATGATTGCCCATTAAATAACAGGGAATAACCGAATTGGTTCCCGTTTAAAAAAGGTATTTTATTAGGTATAGCCGAATTGGTTCCCGTTTGTGTACAGGTGAAATAGTGACAATTTTAATTTTTATTACAATTTACCTACACTATTAAAAATTAAAATCAAGGAGGATGTATATTCACCTTGATTAAAATCCAGTGGGCCAGTGCATAAAAAGCAAAAAACAAAATTTTAAAAGATATATGTAGGGTTGCTGTTCGGATCATGTTTTAATCATGAATGTCAGGTCTATGCGGGCCCGTATTTAGGGATTGGCACGGGTAGGCATATGCCCGGGGGCGTCAAGTATCAGGGGTGGCAAAATATTTTATAAAAATTAATTTTAAAAATGATGTACTCATATCTAATGAAAAAAATAAAATAATATGTTTTATTATGTTAAAATTTCTAAAATTAAAAAAAATTGTAATTTTATTATATTATAATTTGATAATTAAAAAAAAGGAAATTTAATGTTTTATTATGTTATAATTTGTTTAATTTGTTAGTCAAAAAAGTTATTAAACGATTTCCATTTATAAGTTATTTTAATATTAAAGAATCTTGATTATGGACGAAATAATAAGTGATATGTTATTATTATTTATTTTTGGAGGTGGGCATAAATTATATGCCCGGGGCATAGGCGAATATCAGGAGGGGCTTGGGGGACTTTGGGGGGCTTAGACCCTCCAAATATTTTAATAGTCCCCCCCAAAATCGAAACTTTGTTAGAAATTTAATTCGTTGTTTTTATAATTTATTTATAATTATCTGTTCATTTTTTTTTGAAAATCGTAAAATAAGAAATAATAAAAAACTATTTACAATAGCATTAACAATACCAATTACATAGTTTGACTACTTGTGAAAAAAGTTTCAGTGCAATGAAAAAAATAAAAACTTGGTTAAGGACATTGTTGGTTCAAGATAGGTTCAACAATCTTTCAATATTATACATTGAAAAAGATATAACGAAAGATATAAAAAGCGATGATATTTTGAGTATCTTTGCTAATACAAATAGTTATTTGTCATTAAAATAAAATATTAATTATTTTTAAATATACGTTATTTAGTGTTTTTTTAATACAATTTAAACATATCTATATTTTTAATGGTGATAAGTTTTACTTGTGTATGGGAAGGGGGGTGTGGGGGCGAAGCCCCTGCGAGTTATTTCACATGGAATTATTAGAGCCTCCCCCAAAAATTCAACCAAATATCCGCTTATGGCCTGGGGGCGCTAAATTTTTAAATACGTGCCTCCATATTTTTAAAATTCTAAGATGTATCATTAGCAAAATCTAAAATACCAACTATTTTAACTGTGTTACTCATTACTGTTAACGTTTGAATGGGCAGTTTGACAAAATCCTTAAGTGTGCATTACGAAAAATGATATATTTTAGCCTTTGTACCAAATTGTTATAACTGGTAACTAGTGGCGTCGAATTACAAAAATGCAGTATGGCGAATATCAGATTTTTATAGTACTTATCCACCTACCAATTTGTGTAAACGGTGGAGGGGGGCTGAAACCCTACCATAATATTGTATTCAAAATTTATATTAATACATAAACTAACTACATTAAATATACAACTAAATACACTAACTATATCTATTTTCATATTGTGACAGCAATAATTTATGATATAGCCGATATAAGTGTTCACTTTATATATTAATATTTATTTTTAAGTCTCCCTCCTCACCAATAAGTCCTATGTCCACTACTATTATTTATATTAATATTAAAATATATCACGTTCATAATTAAGGGAATTTGTAGGAAATTGATTTGTTGGGAAATTATAGGCAATGTAATAGGCATTATTACGCATTTATGCAGTAAGGCAAATTATTTACCCAGCACCCAATGGGTTACCTAACTACAGTACCCACCCACCACATAATTCATTATGGCAGTCACTATAGTTGGATATAGGGATCGGCGCTACTGAATGTAACTTATTATGGTTATTGCCAGAGTATGAAGAATATATATATATATATATATATATATCATAATTTTACCAAATGTACGTAGAAATTCTTTATCCTAAGTATCGACGCGAAAACATTCAAGTTTTTATATTCTATTTGTTATCTAAGAATCAATTAAATTCTTATTAAATGTGTTAACTGATTATATATTGTTGAGAAATTATTAAAAATATAATTCGTTTTATCGATGCATTTAAATAACCTTGATTGGTTGAAGTTTGAAAAACTATATTTACCAAATTTTACAAACTTGGAGTATATTTTTTATCACAGTTTATTGTGTATTATGTTGATAGCTAAATTGACAAAGCCACTTGCAATACTACTACATTGTCCACATAGGTGTTGACATTTAATTTAATTGCCGTTTATATATGATAATACCTACGTTTTAATAAGTTTGATAAGTTTTCCGATTTTATAAATTCTTTTGATGTGTATTTCGAGGACGATGTACTAATCGCCACATGTGCTGTTATTAGGATTGATATTATTACCTATATTATCGAGGGCACGGAAAAAAATTCGCGAACGGAGAAAACGACGAATTCGAGTACGCCAAAATCTTCGAAATAGAAAATTATATGTAACAAGGATTTAATATTGAAAGATTTGAACGAATTAAATCTCAAATACAGATTTGGATGTGTGAGAATTTCAAATGTATACAACAGACCAGTGGCGTAGCTAGGATTTTCTGAAGGGGGGGTGTTAATTATAGTTATTAAATATTATATATAATACGTACGAACTAAAACTTTTATTTTAATTAATTAATATGCATACATAATGTCTGTAATAGAGATGTAATGTATATTCGAATTCGGATAGCTTTACCAAAAATTATTCGAATATTTGACTATTCGAATATCAGTATTCGATGCTACAATACCTATTATTATCAAACGTTTTGTGTTGCACGAAAACGTAAACGAATAATTTTCATCACGTATTATCGCAATCGCGATAATGTTAACCTGTATATATGTAATTAGTATTGTGCATCATTTTATATTTCATATTGTGTTATCGATTTACCTATATTCCTATAATAATGTAATATATGATACGGCTCAAGGGGGATGTCATATCTACCAAACACCCCCCCTGTATACGCCACTGCAACAGACCTTTTGCATTGTTCAAAAATTGTCTTTATTCTTTTTACTAGGTACATAGAATTATAGGGAAAATTAATGACATCCATCCAATGCAGAGGACAAAAGGGAAATCATAGACCCATTAGGTCTATGAGGGAAATCACTCGTAATAGCAGTGGTATTGTATATTTATTCTATGAATTTGTGGGTTTTACACCATCATTACCATTATCGTTATATATTATCATTGATTATAAATAGTATTATAATTAGTATTTATAATCAATGATATTATGCACGTATAGGCAGAACAGAGTCAATAATTATTCGTAGTCCGGTAGTCGTTCGCGTGATAATGAATTTTATGCGCTTATCAGTTATCACGCGCACGACATAGCAACAACAATAACGTATATAGTAATAACCATGATATAATAAACTAAAAGTTTATTATATCATGGTAATAATAATAATAAAAGTAATGCGCGTGTTGAATCATTGATCATGTATATCGCCGAGTGAAATTGTACTGAAACATTACAATGAATTGGATGTGACGGGATGGGAATTATACGTAACGTATGCTAATATACGCTTAATAATAACAGTATTGCAATGCCGTCAACCGGAGTTTCATAAAGTATAAAACAATCGACCGGCGCCGCACTTATCACGTCTACGAACCACGACAAAGAGTATTGATAATATCAATTAAACCCTAGAAAAACGATGTAATTCTCCGTGACGTTGGTTCTTCGCGCGATTATCCATCATTCATATTATAATTAAATTTCGTCTGCGATGTTAATCGTTATGTCATGTTCCCGTCGGATTCGGCCAAGCACGGACGTCAAATGTTGATCCGCATTAATGTTTTCCTGGCATTGCTTCTGGGCAGCGGACTACTCTCGTTGGGTGAGTTCAAATATCTCACGTTGAATTTGTTTTTCCGATAGCAACAGTTCGAGGGGAAAATGTTTCCGTTTACGTGATTGATGGATTAGAAACCGGTTTTTAAACGTGGTTTCCTGTTGGCGAATGACATGATAAACGATAGGATATGTTTTATGCTATTATTTGAAAATTAAAAATTTAAGAAATTATTTATAATTATTATTATTTATATAATAATTATACTTAAATATATTTTGTATGTTGTGGTATGCAAACAATTTACCAGGGGAGGATTTAGCATTGATTTATTCTTGACAAATTTTGGGTTATTATAAAGATTATATCTGATTAAATTTGTGAAGTGTATTTTTTATTCTAGAATTTGTAAAAGTATAACTATATAGCAATATATCTATAACTTTTTTCCAGCATTCATTTATTAAGACTCAAGTATAACTTGATCATTGCAGTTGTATCTGTAAGTTGAACTTCATATAATTTTATTTTTCAGGAATCATCTATGGCTTAGTAGTATCAAATAATAATGCCCTCAAACATGAGTTTACAAAAAAAGAATTTCAATTTTCTGGAACTACTGACTCTGAACTCAATATGGATCTTGTTTATAAACTAAAGAAAGAACTTGCTTCGGCAAACGATAAAATAGAACAACTTGAAAATAAGATGCAAGGGTTTGAAGAACGTATCAAAAAGCCTTATCCAAATGTCAAATATTTAAACTATCGTACAAAAAAACGCATTTTGGTAAAAAAAATTTTATTTTTACATTATTATTTATTAAACTTCTTATTATTAGTTAAAATAATCAATTTTTCCCTTGCTAATTGTTCTCAATTATAGCTCTGTAAAACAATTTACATAATAAACTTATATGTATTTCAAGTGCATACACAAAAAAATATTTTAAGGAAAGTTTTAGGTTATATATTTTTATACTTGTATGATCTATAAAATATATTTAATAATTTTCTTGAATTTTGAGGAAGTTTGAATTCCTAACCCTCCTCCCATTGTGTACGTGTCTGATGTATGTACCTATATAATTGTAAATCCTAAATTCTTAAAATGCATTCAAAATATGGGTTTGTAAACATAATTGCAGACAATAATATATCAGTAAGATAAAAATATTGTTAGCTAGCATATAGTCTAACTATTAGTAAATAATAATTAATTAAATTTTTTTTTTTTATTGAAACTTTTTAGGTATACAATTTATTTCAACATTTACAGAATAAAATTGGTGTAAGCTTGAACATTAAGACATACATTTCATTTAAAATAATTTAGATATAATTAAACGGTTAAACCAGTCTCACGGATAAATGATAATAATCGGATTATAACAAATTCAGAATTGGAATTATGAATAGAAGATAGAGTTAGTTGGATATTTTGAGATTTTAAAAAATTAAAAAGAGTTAAACGATTAGAGGATAAAGATGGGCAGCTATAGATAATATGAGAAAGGTCCCAAATAATCTCTTCAGAGTGTTTATAACAGTAAGGGGAATCGTTTAGAGAAAAAGTTTGTAGGAATGAGAAGGAAGTAGATAATGACCGACCCGTAAATGGCTAAATTGTATAATCGAGTTTCTGGATAAAGTTTTTTTTAAGATGATGGGAACAGCTCTTTCATATTTTGAGGCAAAATTAGTTGGAAGACCATTCCAATAGGATGACCAAAGATGATTGATATGTTGTCGCAGAATTGAGATGAAGTCAGAAGAAGGGATTTTACAAGGCGTGGGCAGATAGATGGAAGAAGTGGACCTTGCTAGGTTGTCTGCAATCTCGTTACCGAGAATACCAGCGTGGCTGGGAGACCAAAAAAATTTAATAGTAAAGTTAGCTTCATTGAGGAAGAAAAGAATATTTTTTATGCTGAGAATAAGAGGAAAAAAGCAGGGATTGAAAGGATAAAATTTAATTTTTTAATTTATGTTATAATATAGTCAAAATTCAAACCAATACTTTCAAAATTTAAGATTAAAAGAATTTGCCTTGATATAAAACTGACTTGCCTTAATATAATTTGATATTATTTATATACACATTTATGCAAAAATAGTCAATTTCATGCCAAAATATTCTTGAAAGTACAACAAATAAATAAATAGTATCAATATAATAATTATTTTTCAATTTCCATATGCAATTTTAAATTTGAATAATTTCAAAAGTATTGGTCTAAATGTTAATTGTTACTTAAAAAAAAAAATCAGTCTATATATAAAAATATTTCTGAACTTTTTATAATATTCTTTTGTATTGCTTTTATATTTATATCAAATACTAAATATACATACATATATAGGTAATTTATTTAATACTAAAATCAATTATATGTTTAAAATTATTTAGTCATTATGAATTAGATTATATTAATTACTCAATGTTCTGAAATCCTTTAAGTTTGAAGGTAATTTAAGATCATTTAACAAAATAATTATACAAACCATAATATTAGTAATAGTTAATTCAAGAGTAAATTTATATATTAAAGTAGAAACTCTAATGGTGGCTGACCCCAAATAGTTGAGAGAAAGGGGAAGGGGAAGGAGAAGAAGAAAGTATAAAATATAATAAGTTAATATAGATGGTGAAATTAAGTTTTAATATTCAAAATTAATTTATTCAAGTGACAATAACAGTTGTACATAGTTTATTTACCTTACAGGTTACAGGTGGTGCTGGCTTTGTTGGATCTCATCTGGTTGACAAATTAATGAAAGCTGGCCATGACATTACTGTAGTTGATAATTTTTTTACTGGAGTCAAAGCAAATGTTGAACAATGGATTGGCCATGCCAATTTTGAACTAATACATCAAGATATAGTCAATCCTCTGTTTGTAGAAGTTGATGAAATTTATCATTTAGCTTCACCTGCATCACCCCCGCATTACATGTTTAATCCAGTCAAAACTATTAAGACTAATACAATTGGAACAATCAATATGTTAGGTTTGTAAAATAATATTTTTTACTCTAAAAAAATTTAACATTTATTTATAAAAATAAAACAATTCTTTCTGTTTTTAAACTGTATACCTATAAGAATTTATATACTTACAGTGATTAGTCTTTGTTAAACATTCTCTTATTTTGAATAATTGATAAATTCAATAATAAAATATACTTTTAAGTCAATCATTTTTTTGGTTATTAAACTTTTTTAGTATATCCATAAAGTCAATAAGATAATTGACTCATTGTATATTAATACAAGTACTTTTGAAAAACGTATCAAGCAATTAATTAAGAAAACACATATCCTGCTGTTTTTCATTAAACTGATTTACTATCAATAGTTCAATAGTAATAATAATTTGTCTTTGAGCATGGATATTTTTACCTCCTTATTTCTTTTTTTTTAATTTTGTATATAAACCTTTATGAAGACATTTATTTTTATATAAAAAAAAATCCCTTATCCCTTATTCATTATAGAACCATTTATTTCTATGAATATACTAGATAATAGATTTGTTTATAAATGTATTTTGTCTTAACTTACATGATAATACATTTATAGGATTAGCAAAGAGAGTGGGTGCTAAAGTCTTGATTGCTAGCACTTCTGAAGTTTATGGTGATCCTGAAGTACATCCACAACCAGAAACATATTGGGGACATGTGAATCCAATTGGTAAAATAAGTGTTTATGAAATTTATTATTTTTAATAATTTAATGTTATCTGATTTAGGTCCACGGGCATGTTATGATGAAGGAAAAAGAGTTTCAGAAACATTGAGTTATGCCTATGCTAAGCATGAGAAAGTATCTGTGCGTGTTGCCAGAATATTTAATACGCACGGGCCCCGAATGCATATGAATGATGGTCGTGTAGTGTCTAACTTTATAGTACAAGCTCTTCGAAATGAACCAATTACAGTAAATATATATATATATTTTATAGTAAATTAAAATTAAGAACATTATATCTTATAGGTATATGGTAGAGGTAATCAAACTCGTTCATTTCAATATGTATCTGACTTAGTAGATGGATTAATTGCATTAATGGATTCTAATTATACACAACCAGTTAATCTTGGCAATCCAACTGAACATACAATAAATGGTAAGTTTTAGTATTTATTATTATTCCGTGTAAAATATAATGGCATTTTTAATTAAAGATGAATGTGTTAAAATGTAAGTTTTAGGGGATGTAGAAAATTGAGATGAGTGGAGGTTTAGGACAAAGGTGGCCAATCCCTAATAGTTGGGAGAAAGGTGAAGGAGAAGAAATTGAATGTATTAAAGCTTATCTAAATAATATTGTACTTTTAATGTTGCATTAATATAATGAAAATACTTAAAACATTTATAAAATTTTAATTTAATATATTTTGAAGTACAATATAATGTTGATTTATTAATTATTTATATTATTATTTATATTCATTAATTATTATTTTTTTATTTTTTTTTTCAGCACATGGTATTATTTAATATAATTTGTATATTCTTTTTACTGGCTAAATGAGTATCACTGAATATATTCTTATGTAAATTCAAACCTATTAAAAAAAAAAAAAAAAAAAAAAATTAAAAACTATATAAATTATTTTGCTTTAAATTAATAAATAAATAAATATAATAATGTAAATTATGTCTAAACATATAAATTTATATTCAATTAAAGAATTAATTAATTAATACTTTTTAATTAGTTGTTAAAAAAAGAACAAAATTGTTTGACCTTCATGATTAACACAGTAAATACAACAAGAAATTAATCTTCTCATGAACTGTGTATGTGCATTGCATATATATATATATATATATATATACATACATAAAATACTATTAACAATCATCATTAATTATAATTTGAATGTATAAACACCATAAAGTATTTTTATCTTATAGCCTAACAGTATTTTTGATAGGTTTTTTACTTTAATTAAATGACACTTAATAACATTTCCTCTTTAGATTATGTCATCAGTATTATGCTATTATTTTAACTTATTATTAACAATTAATTTAATTTTTTTGCAGAATTTGCGGCAATAATTAAAGGTTTGGTTGGTGGAAAAAGTACTGTAATTACAAGTTCTGCTGTTGAAGATGATCCACAAAGAAGAAAACCAGACATTACAAGAGCAATGACATACCTTAATTGGAAACCTAAGGTATATGGTGTTATATTATGGATTTATTTTGGTAGAAAAAATTTAAATTAAGAATAAATAGCACAACATTTATTATGAGGTATTATATAGTATTTCTAATTCAAATTGATATTGATATTTTATTTTCCTTTGTAATAATTTCAAAATATTTATAAAGTTCAAAAATATTATTAAAATGTTCAGAAGGTTGATCATTGTATCAATATAAAATAAGAGTGTAAGATATTTTATAAATTGTGCATCATATATAATAATTAAAAATATTTTAAAATTCCTAATTCCTGTTAATTATTTTCCTATTCAGTAATATACTTATTCTCGTTCTTGACTTGTACTATAAAATATATTAAAAATTATTTTAAAAAACCCTTTTAATTATTTGTATTTAATACATCTAATTTCCATACTTTTTTTGTAAATTGTAAAAAAAAGTAAGCATATAATACAAATAATCCAAGTATTAGATAAATAAGGTTGAAAAATACTTTTACTTATTATTATTATTAATTTTATTTAAATAACTTTATATATATTATACGAGGCAACAGCACATTAGTATAGCGCAAAGTGGATATTCAATAAAATAAAATAACAATAACAAAATATAACATAAAAATATACATAAATCTTGGAAAATACTTAATTTAATTACTATTTGTAGATTATTTGTTATAGAGTAAAAACATGTATGTAGTATAATAATTTTGAATTTTTTAAAAAATTAATTTTAAATATTAATTTTTTTAAATTTTTTTTTGCAGGTAGGCCTCAAAGAAGGTTTAAAAATGACAATAAATTACTTCAAGCAAGAATTAAGGAAATCACAAAAAACTGCTTGATATGTAATTATTTAGCATATATATATATATATATATGTGTGTATAGATTATTATTTAACTATTTTTACTTTATATTGTTGACATTTTTTTAAATCGATGAACCTTGATTTGGAGTTAATACTATGAGTATTAAGTATATTAATATGAGAATTATTTTATTTTTATTCACCTAGATTTTTTTTTTTTAACTTCTGTGATATCTATAGTTATTATGTTATTAACCATTTTATCTTTTGTTGCAATTGTTAATTAAATATGTTGAATAAAACAAATATATTTTTAGTTGAATTTTTTTTTTTATGTAATCAATATTTTTTATGTATTTATACTTTAAATTGTCTACTATTATTACTTAGATTTTTTCCAAATATTACAATAACTAAAAATATTTACAGCAACTACAAAAAACACTTTTAACTAATTCTAAATTAAATTTGTAACTTATGCATGAATCTTTAATTTTATAGTATAAAATGTGTAAGATATTTTTTACTTAAATTTATTATAATTAGATTTAAATTTCTGATTTTGAGTCTAAAAAATTCTTTTAACTATTTGGCTGTTATCTTCAATATGATTCTCAAAAAAGCCATACTTTTTTTTATTTCATATAATCTACTCCTTTTAATAGCTGAAATATATCTTTATATTGATGAAATAGTTTACTATCAATTAAATCAAATAAAAGTAGTATTCTAGTGATTTTTTTTTATCATAAAATTAATTTTTAGTGTACCTTTATACATTTATCCTCTACATTGTAGGGTCTATAGCAGTTTTTCTTAAACTTTTTGAGATCACTGAACACCAAATAATAATTTTGTGGACTCCTGTGAAAAATATCTTCAAAAAAGGAAGATACCAACATGGATATTAATGGTAATATTAACAGTAAGTACATTAAAATACTAAGTACCATAAAATGCAATTTAAATATTTATTCTTAGTATATAGTATTCATAGTACCAAAATGTTCATTCAAAAAGTAAAATTATATCCGATTTCGATAATTGAGGAAATAATAATAAAATTAGTGGATGAATCTTAATGGGATAAATAAACTTGAATGTGTATTTATCAATAGGTATCCAGGTGCGTATTTTAGGGGGTCGAAGGGGGCGATTGTCCCCCCTGAATCCGTATTTAAGGGATCGATCATATGTGAGATACGCATTTCAAATTTTTTTTAATGTGGATCATTTTATAACGATACTTAGTGTCAATACTTAGTGAAAAATCAAATAAAACACAAGCGTAACTTTCAAAACACAAACAAGTATTAAAAAAAGAACTACACAAAAGTCCATTTTAAGTGGATCCGGCATTAGATTAAAAAAAAAAACACAAATAATAAGGATTCACCAATATTACCAACATTTTTAACTGTAAATTTTGAGTCTGAATTAAAGAAAAAATTTTAGTGGCTCCTCCCCCCTTGAAGTAATAAAGTAAGTCTTAATGCGCCCCTATAGGTAAGTATATGAAGTAAGTATTGTTAATGAAAGTATTAAGTATCGATAACTTATAGTGATTAAATTCGCGCAGATGCATTCATCAGTTTTAAATGTGATAAGAAGTCATTGGTACATAAATAGTTAAATCATTCATTACGTTAATTATTAAGCTCTTGTTTATTTTTAAATTTGAAATTTTGAAATTATAAAATGGAATTTCAAAAGCAATATTGATTATTGAAAAATATACAAACAATATCTATTGCTTTGGAACATACATCAAAAGAACTATTTTAACATAAGATAAAAAAAATTAGATGTTTAAAAAGTTGTATGCAGATCTCAAGAATGAAGGGTTGTTAATGGGAATATAATATATTCAGCGATTTTGCAAGCCATATCGAGTATATAAAGCAATTTTACTTGCCGAAGTGTAAAATAGCTAGAAGTAGCCCAGTAGTCTACATTATTCGCCGGTGGGCAGCGGTGTTCAATACGTGGCGATTAAACGACTAGGCCTATTACGTTAAGCGAGTAAATTTGCTCAGTGCAATCGAGGCTTTAGTCAATTTCAACAAATTTCGACTTAGACTTGCTTGCAGTGACTGCTGAGCTCCCACGTAGAGAAAGCAGGGGCGCCATTTAGGGGGGGAGCAGTGTGTGCACTCGCACACCCTGAATTTTTTTCATCTTTAATTATTGGCCTAGGCGTCACTGATACATGGCCTTACCACTTTGACTTTCAGTTTTCCAATCTTTAATGTTGTGCATGCACCGCGGCTGATCAGTAATCACTGCTAATCATAAATGTTGGCCTGGTGGTGGGAAAAAATTGGCTTCTTTAATTCCTTGAACACCCTTAAAAAAAACTGAAATGGCGCCCCTGAAAGAAAAAACAGGAAGTAGATCACTTCACGTCTTTTAGCTCTTCACCTAGTATTTATACTGCACTGCGAGGCGTCGAGTTCTCTTTAACACAATGCACAGCAGGCCCGTAGCCAGACCAAATCATCTGGGAGGGGGGGGGCAAACCAATTTTTAGAGGAGGCATTATAATAGCTGTTCCAAAGAAAGAGGAGTAAATATGACGAGTGCGTTAGGGCGTAAACGTATTATGAATTTAGGGGGCGTCATACTAGTTAATGATTATATGAAAAACTAGATTTTTTATATTCGATAGGTAAGCATTACTCTTTCTTTTATACTGAAATATCCGAGTACCAAGAAAATTGAACAATACATATTATAAAATATGAAAATATGTAAATGTGTTACACACCTACACGTATAAATATTACCGTGGGATAAAATAATATTGATAAATTAACAATGGTAATTGATGATCTCAAATTATGATTTTGTAAGTATTTTATAGGTAGTTAAGTACCAAGTAGGTACCATAGTACGTTGACTTGACTTTATATTATGATGAATATTAACTGTGAATCATAATTATCAGGATTCAGATTTAATATGATTGATAAGTGACGAAATACGTACTAAAATATAACCAAAAACACCTTATTCATATGTTAAACACGATTTTTTTTCCATAAGCCACATTTAATTTTCAAATTGATTTTTTTTAAACATTTTGAGAGTTTCCCAGAACACGGTTCAAGAAACGACCTACACTCAGAAATCGGCGCCACTGATTTTTCGAAAATGCACGTTGTCGGCACTATTACAACATTGTAGGTTATTATGAATTATGTAACGGAATAACGAAAAATATTCTTCTTATCTACAGGTCAGATAAGCAAAGATAAGAGACGCTGCTACAATACCTGTTTGCTTCTCATATATACAACGTTCTGCGGTCGATTCTCGAACAGCAAATATTGATTACTAAATTGTTAGATTCCGAAACGTCACACGTCTCGTACCTCTTCGATTTCGTTTCGCGGTGTCAGTAGGAGCAACAGCAACAATAGCAACGGCGATGCCGGCCAAGCTAGCAATAGTGACGGGCAGTAACAAGGGCATCGGTTACGCGGTGGTCAAAGCGCTGTGCGAGAAGTTCGATGGCGACGTGTACCTGACGGCCCGGGACACGGAAAGGGGCCGGATGGCGGTGGAGAGCTTGAACCGACTGGGGCTGAAGCCCAAGTTCCATCAGTTGGACATCACGGACGATGGGAGTCTGGCCGAATTCAAGGGTTTCGTGAGGGACAACTACGCGGGCATCGACGTGCTGGTCAACAACGCCGCCATCGCGTTCAAGATGGACGCGACGGAACCGTTTGCTGTGCAAGCGGACGAGACGATGCGCGTCAACTACTTCGCG